GTTTTATGTGCTGCAGAACAGGAACCTGCTGTAAAACAGCAATTATGCTGAGTCAGGCTTGAGTTTTAGTAATCTTTTCCTCTTAAATGAATAAATAAATCAAATCAATCACTTAGAACTTCTCAGAATCTTGGCTACAAGCTGGTAAAATCATTTCTTTGAACACTCAAGACAGTTAAAATTACAGTTGAAGATAAAACTATGAAAGTGGAAATAATATTGGTTTAAAAATTTGGCAAGACACAGAAGTCAAAATAATATTTGTGTTAAATAGGAGGCATAATGTGTTCTTTTGTTTTTGATAATGTTTAATTATCATTACTTTCATACGGTTCAGTTTGTTGTATTCATGAAAAAATACAGAAAATAAACTAATTCAAAGGTAACAGATCTTTGTAATACTTGGGTTATTTACATAATGACTTTAATAACTGAATGTTCGGCCCCTCAGCTGTTGACCTGCAGTAACTGTGGCCCCCAGAGCAATTTAGTTAAATAGCTCTGTTTGTTTACTTTTCCTTCTGTTCTTTAAATGTTTACAGTGCCAGAAAGAGACCCATCCCTTACTTCCGACCCAGCCCTTCCTCCAGCAGTCGTTCCACCAGCGTGTCATCCTGGAGCAGCCTCTTCACGCGCAGCCGCAGCCGCAGCCGCAGCCGCAGCTACTCTTCCTACAGGAGCTACAGCCGCAGCTCATCGTGGAACTCCATCTTTGGGTCCTGCAGTCGCAGCAGGAGCCGCAGCTCCCCGAGGAAACGAAGGAAAGCCAGACAATGACGTCTCTCGGAAAAGAGGACCGATATGGACTTTTTTTTTTTTGGGTGGGTGAGGAGGGGGGGTGTCTTCAGATGAGAGCGTGGACGGCAGCTGTCAGAGCAGCTCACCGTGAGCATCTTTAGGATCCACTTTGCTGCCTGAGTGGAAACATCCCGGCGGTGGCTCGAGCACATCTTTCATGGAGACACTTCTGTTCCTTGAGCCCACGCAGACAGCAGAAGACCGAATGTCATTTAGTTTGTTTGTCCTTGTGCTGAATCCTCTTGCATCAGTGCTCACAACAAGCTGAGGCTGTTTGTCTCTTTAAAAAAAAATACATCATTTCTGTGTTTCTTCAACTAGCATCCTTCTCAATATTCATCCCAAATGCCCCATTTCCTTTAATTTATCCCTGTTAATGTTTAATGTGGCCAAATGGGCGATCCAAGACGATTGAAATTACTCAACTTCAATTCAGTTTTCACTCCAAGCGTTCAGCGTGTTTTCACCAAATGCGAATTCACTGTCCTGTACGACCCAGTCTGAAGTACTTGAGCAACATTTAGGCCGTTTGATCCCCGTGTTTATAGACGGCGTCACAGGGATCGCTATCAGCAGCCAGAGTTCAGGCCTTCAGCTCTGATCTCAGCACTTCACAAGGTGGAGAACAAACACGCTCCCTCGGCGTAGGCGGCCCGACGGCGAGGAAACTTCCCGTCAGCTTAAATGTCAAATTACTGTTTCCTCTGATCAAGTGAAGAAAAAAAAACAACAGTTTTGTGTCTAAAATACAACAGGGGACGATCAAATCAAGCGTTTTTTTTTTTTCCTGGTGGAGGAGGCGTTTGTCTTAACGTGCAGCGAGTTGTGTGTTTGATAGGTCTATTTTAGGAAATAAAGATTGACTAAACTGCTCAGAACCTAAATTATTTAGTGAGTTTACGTTTAGTTTTCATGATGAAGTTGTAACAGTTTTGGCATCAAAATGCTGGAAATTATTCTAAAATAACTTACTTAAATTATTTTTACGTATTTATTTATTTATTTATTTATTTTATTTTATTAATGTGCATTGGTGGACATGTTTATGACTTATTCTGTATGTATTTATTTAATATTATTTAATTTTTTTATTCATGCACATAAGGAATCCTGACACTGCAGCTTCGTTGCTTCAGGAAGAATATCCGTGAGTTCACTCGCCCCTGCAGAACGGAGCAACCATAAGAAAAACTAAAAAAAAAGCAAAACATAACATTTATTTATTGGCATATGTTTCTTCTCGGTTTCTCTGCTGTTCTGTCAGTTTATAGTTTTTATGAAAATGCATGTTCAGAAAAACAAACTTTTACTGTTTGAACTTTTGTACAAAGAAAGAAATATTTCATTTAGTTGTATTGATTTATTTGTTTTCTCATGCAGCCTGTCATTCACAGACACTTGTTCAAACACCTCTGTCTTCTTCTGTTTTTTTTTTTACCTTCTAAAGGTCAGGAGTGGGGGGAGGGGTATCTGATAGATGCTGAACAATGAAAAGGAGTAAAATGCTCTCCGAGCACGGCCTGTCAGGTTAAGTAGATCCGTGTCTTGGAAGGGTTACTTTTCATTTTTAGACGATGACTTGAACAGAGCTTCTTGTTGTTTTCTAGATATTTCCTTTTATAGAGCTCGAGGAAGAAATTAAGCATTCTGCAGCAGCTGAACCCATAAGAGAATTGGCTATTTTTTTATGCCTGATGCAACCTGAGTTAGTATGACTTAGTATTATGGCCACACAAGAGATTTTTATTTTTTTATTATGAGAATAAAGTCGTAATATTATAAGAATAAATTTGTAATACTACAAGAATAAAGACATATGAGAATAAAGTTGTAAATTATGAGAATAAAATTGTAAATTATGAGAATAAAGTCGTAATAGTTCAAGAAAAAAGTCGTTACGTTATGAAAATAGTCATAATATTACGAGAATAAAGTCGTATGAGAATAAATTTGTAAATTATGAGAATAAATTTGTAAATTATGAGAATAAAGTCGTAAAAGTTCGAGAAAAAAGTTGTTATGAAAATAAAGTCATAATATTATGGGAATAAAGTCAAAATATTACAAGAACCTTTACACAAAAAAGCAGACTTACCACTGCATTAAAATGAGGAATGTTGAGGGTCATGTGAAGTTGTTCTTTAGTATCAATAAATACTTCATCTTTTTGCACATTAGCATTAGCAAATGACCACGATAAAACTGATGCTGTGTTGTAGTTAATGGCTGCATTGACAGAATTAGTTGTTTAATTTGGATGAAAGCATATTACACTAACAGTGACCCAAAAGTCACTGCAGTCTACTTTATAAACACAGACAGGGCTGTCCACAGAACGTGTGAGGAAAATGAGGAGGAAATGAATAAAAAATCAGGAACTGAAAATGGACATCATGTAGAATTATGAATTTTTTCTCATAATATGACTTTAATCTCATCATATTATGACTTTACTCTCATAAATAAAAAAAAATAAAATTGTGTGGCTTTAATACTCCGTCGTTGGTTTGAACCTGCAGCCTCAAGATAAGATGGAGCAGTAACCACTGAGCTATTGGAAGCCCCCTGTTGATAAAAGGATACATCTAATCCAGTTCTCCTAACAAAATGAACATTGCTACCACTTGTAATACCTTTAAAATTATTATTTACCTGAAATTATTGCATCTTCTTAATTGTTACCTGCTAAGTTTCCTGGCTCTGTAGGCGAACTCTGTTACCTTCATACTGCTTCCTGCAGCCCATGCAGCTGCTGATGACATCATCATCTTTAAGCAGCAGACCAGCTCAGAAAAAATAAACTTCTTACCCCACCTCCAAAATGTCACACTGTTCCTTCAAAGGTAATTTCGAGGGGTGCTTCAGCTCCAGAACAGCCTTTGCTGGTAATTAAGAGTCATATTTCCTAATGATTTCAGATCCTTCACCCTGTTTGTGTTGCTGCTCCGGGCCTGACAGACTGCTCTCTCTATGCACTCAACACTCTCAGCTTATTTCCCTAAATGTCAACTCAATTGGACAAATGAAGGAAATATGGCGCTGGAAGAGGAAAGAACTCGGCACAAAAAGTCATCCGTAATACAAACTGGTGTAAAAGTGTTTGTTTTCTGGGGTGGGGGGGGCAAAATCTGTGCAATCATGTTGATAAACAATGACCCCCCGGGGCAGTGACCCTCACTTTTAATTGTTCTTTTAGTTTCTGTGCAAACAGGATTTTGAACGTGTAATTAGTGTGTTGTAAATAGGCATCAGCATTGTATAAATGATATAAAATGTGATTATTTCATGTACAGAATGTCACTGAAGGTGAATAGTAAGGATACAAACCAATGAAGAGTTTAATGTCTTTTTATTTTTGGGGTATTTATTTATTTTTTAATACAAATAATGGAGTCTCAGAGCAATAGTGTTGCAGTGTTTCATTGTTAAATTATGCATTTCTACTCCTGTTTTCAGTATGAACAAGCATAATGCAAAAGCATATATTTTTCATACTGCATGTGTGTAAGTGTGAACCACGTTGTAATAAAGTGTCACCTGTAAACTGAACCGTGCACGCACGATAAAATCTTTGCTTCCTGTTATGTGTTTGCAGAATAAGTTGTACTGGACCATTTCATTTGAAAACGTTGCAGCTAATCACGTTGGCTTTTCTGTCACTACAACCCTTGGAAGAGTTGAACAAGTTAGAATCTGTTTTTAAGATATTGAATTTTTAACATTAAATCTTAATCCTTTGCAAAATTAAGTGACTTTTTTTCATGTAGAATTCACCTGCATAAGTTTGCCTGCAAATATGTTGACCTTCTGGTGTCTCAAGCCAAAGCAATCAGCACTAGATGGAGTCGAGCAGCTTTTAGCCAATCAAATTACACTCGTTTGAACACACCACTCTGGTTAGTGTGAAGAAATTTATAGTTTTCACAGATTAGTACTGATGTTAAAAGCACAACACTATATTTTTAGGTTTTCCTTTTTATAATGGTTAATCTATAATGTGTTGATTGATATAGATTACATGTCCGAAATATCTATAACAACACATATTTATCCGTTATGGAAACATCAGGGAAGAACTGTGTATGAATGCCTGTGATTCAGCCGTAGGTCAGTAGGGGGCGAACGCGGGCATTGAAGACTCTATAAATGGATCAACTTCCTGGTTTTTCAGCAGTGTGTGGTTTCCTGTCAGATCCGAATGGCATTAAATCCTCACTCCCAGAATTCTGGTTTTGTATGGTTTTATCTCGTCTAACAATCATATTTAACATTGGTGGTTTTCTACTGACTTCAGTCTTTGAACACGAATATTCTTACAAGTGGATGAATAATACGGGACGCCAAGTGTAAAATGAAATGCTAAAAAAACTTTACTAACATGTTTTTTTATAATTTAGCTCAGTTTCCGAGTGTTAAATATTTTCCACTAACATTATTCGGCTCATTGTTCTTGCATTTAGCTAATTTTTTACTAAATGTTAAATTTAAATGTTAACATACAGTATATTTCAAATTAAATTCTAAATCTAAATGTAAAAGTTAAACCTCAAATGTTGATGTTAAATGTTGAAGTTCACATTTAGGCATTTTGGAATGGAACGCAGCCTTTGCCGTTGGCGCTCGGCTCATGTTATGATGTCATCATCCTGAGACATTAGCAACTGCGCTTCACAAGACATCAAACTGCTGGACCACAGGTACCACCCATATTGTTTTTATGAACACATTTCAAATTTAAGTTCTAAATATTGTCTTTAGCATTGTTAGAAGCGTTAGCAGAAGTTAGTAATGACCTATGAGGATGATGTCATCATCCTGCGACAAACAACAATGGCCACTGCTAATACTGCTGTCGATGATATTTGATATAAAATTCATTGATTATAAATAATAAAATTGTGTTGGTGAAATTCAGTGGTGGGCACAAGCCCGCTAAAGCGCAAATCTGCTAATTGCGAACCTAAATATTTCATTTGCGCTTTAGCGCACTTACTAATTTTTTATAATTCATAAGCGGAGTTGCACTTTCTAAATTTAAAATGCAGTACCGCTAATAACTAATTATCTACCAGTCATCATTATCTTGAACAGCAGAAGGTATGGCTGTGAATGAATCACAACTCACGTGATCTATCCACCAGCATCCCTCCCAGATAAAAACACATTGTGAAGGTGTACATCCTTGCTGACTGTTGCATTCAGCCACGGTTCTGATTTCCCACAATGCTTTGTGTCTGCTTACGTAGCAGGAAGGCAATAGCAAAAACAGTAAATGTTTGTAATCCATACTAAAAAAATTTATGTATTGATTTATTTTACTTTACAATCGGAGCTCCTTTTTTAAAATAAATTTTAAACGTGGGAGCTCAAAAGCAATCGGCCAATGGTGTTAGAGACTCAGAAATGATTTAATGCTGGTGAAGACTGACATCTAGTGGTCAACTGGAGCAACTACATGGAAAACATCCTAATCCAGGTATAAAAAATCAAAAAGAAAAAACAAGTAGATCCTCTGATGGGTTCTTCTTTAGTGAAACTTTTCGTCTCTCCTCCAAAAGATTTCTTCAGTCTGATGAGTTTCAGGTGAACTGGGAAACTTTGAAATCCAATGGAAACACGAAAAACTTTAAAATTCAAGCTCTTATTTTGAAGGGAAGGGAAGTTTCCTGTTCCCCGTGCTTTCATTTCCCTGTACCCAGAATGCATCGCTTCAGTTTTCCAATAAACAGTTTTAAAATTACTTTATTGATGCTTTTAATGAAAAATCTACAACAAACAAAAGAAAAAGACAAAGAAGCAGCCGAACTAGCAATCCTCAACAAAGTTTTACTTTTCACACCATAGTTCTTTTACAGGAAATCAGTTCCCCAGCAATGGGGGGTTGTGGGATTAAGCTGTAAAAGCGTTCACACGCTGCCAGTTGGCAGTATTGTACACATTGTACATGAATTGTCAGCTATTAAGTGTTAAATTGAACTTGTGCTTTAAAATTGTCTTTCGCTAATTTTTCTATGACATGAGCGTTTTTGAAGTTGCGTACCTAAATATTTTTACAAGCGCTTTTAGTGGTGGGGCTAATTTTTGGATTAGCGCTGCCCAACACTGGTGAAATAATTTAACATTACATTTACACTTGGCGCCACACAGAATAAGGAGAAGGTTATGGCAAGACATTTTAACATAAAATTAATTTGGCTAAAAGCTGTTCGACTCTGGTGCTGATTGCTTTGGCTTGAGAGGTTGACACATTTGCAGGCAAATTTCAGGCATTTGATTTTTTTTGGTGAATTTGAAGTTTTAAAAAATTCACCACTGCAAAAATAAAAACTCAGTGTTATAAATTCAGTGTCTAACAAAAGTCTGATGAATATATGAGCATGACTGAAGGTTCAGACAGTAAACAAACATCTGTTTTACTGGTGTTGTGACATCAGTGAGTTGAACCAGCAGCTCTGAGTTATTTTCTATAAAAAAATTCTGACTCATCAAATGGGGGGAGCTCTGTGCAACTTAGTTTGGTAAAAAGTAGGCTGGTCCTCAGTCAGCTGTTGAGCCTCCGCTGTAAAAAATAATAATAATAAGCTCACTGGTGAGTCTTTAAAACTTTGTTTAAAGTTGTTTAAATCGTTTTTCCAATTAAAAACGTTCTGGGTTTGATTTGGTTTGGGAAACTAATTATTATTATTTAGAAAATTGAGTCTTTAGATGTGTAGTTTTAACTCTGGAACTGGAATTTTTTGCAGCGTGACTGCTCTCCAGGTCCTGCCAGCACTTTCCAGTCACTGACAGACCCCCACCCACCCCACAGCTGGGAGGTCTCAGCCCCGGTATAAAAACCACAACCGGAGGAAACCGGTTCCCTTTAAAGTTTTAGAGGCGGGGGTTTAGAGAGGAGTTGACAGATCAGCAGGTGTTTGCGTAACGGCCGTGCGCCCTGACCAAAAGGATTAAAAGTTGCCACAAATAGAATCATCGGTGCCAAAATATCTAAAAGTGAAGGCTCCTCTGCAGGATTCAACTCGACTAAAGAACTTTTTTCAGCTCTGAACCCAGCTGGAGATGGCAGAGGGAGACTTTTACGCGTCGGGAAACCGGCAGCGGTTTCCCCGGGATCCGTTCAGAGAATCTCCGTTCCGGGACCAGTCCCCGTTCCGGGACCAGCTTCCGTCTCGGTTCATGGGCGATGACTTCGGGATGCCGCACTTCCCCGACGAGCTGGAGCTGGACTGGCCCGGGTGGGCTCGGCCGGGTCGGCTCAGCACGCGCCTGGACGCGTCGCCCTTCGGCGGCGCTTTACGCACAGGCTTCCCCCTGCGTCACTCCACGGGAGGCCCCGGGCTTTACACCAGCAGGTACGGCGAGCCGCCCTCGCGGAGCCCCCCTGCGACCACCGACGGGGAGCCCTGGAAGGTCTGCGTGAACGTGCACAGCTTCAGAGCCGAGGAGCTGCACGTCAAGACCAGGGACGGGTTCGTGGAGGTGTCAGGTGAGGAGTCCGGGATCTGGAGCTGAAACCAGTCGTTTAGATGACGAGAGGTCAAAGTTCACCAGAAGGCTTGTTTTACACCATTACAACCATTAAACCCAAAATAACTCATTTATGACACCATGATATGTGTGGTTTACACTGAATTTATTGGATCAAACCAAGGAGGTTATAAAACATTATATCTGATCTGTGTTCAAGTCTGGATCAAACAAACAAGCAGTGTTTTATAAAGTACCTCATAGTGATACTTGAGTAAAAGTACAAGTTTCTTATCATAAAAATACCTTGGTAAAAGTTAAAGTTTTCTCTAAAATATTACTTGAGTAAAAGTCTTAAAGTATCTGATACTTTTTGTACTTAAGTATCAAAAGTAAATTTCTGACGCCAAATCTACTTATGTATTAAAAGTAAAAGTACTGAGTAAAAGTGAGCAGTTAGATTTTCCAAAATGACATTTATCGGGAGGTGACTTCTCAAATATATTTTCTAACAGCGTGCAGCTGTGATGGGTTGTGTACAAGATAATTTAGTGTCAGAATGGTAAATGTTTATACTTCTCATCCAACCGCAATTAAATTCACTCCCTCCAGGTTTTTTTTGAGTAACAACTTGGACTAAAATAGGAGTAACGACTTTCTACTTCTTACCTTTTTAAAAACTGTAGTGAGTAGAAAGTACAGATAAATGTGTAAAAATGTAATAAGTAAAAGTAAAAAGTATGCATTGCTCAAGTAAAGTACAGATACCCCAAAAATTCTACTTAAGTACAGTATAGTGTTTGTACTTAGTTACTTTACAACTCTGCAAACAAGTTTCTCATAAATTATTTAATGTTAAAGAAAAACCTCATTTTAAACTTTCCTACATCTGCAGCACTGAGCTTCTGTTTGACAAGGTGCAAAAAGAGAATAAAATCCTTCAGCTTCTTAAACAAAGAGGTTGTTGCTTCTTTAAGTTCAGCTCAATATAAGCCTTATAAGGACCACAAGATGATCTTTCTTTGATTCTTAATAACACTTCAGAAATACCACATATTTTATAAACAAACTGTAACTTTCACTGACTCTATAACTCAGAACATGTTCCTATTTTAGAGAGAAGTTTAGCTCAAAGCTAATAGTGTGTTTATTAGATATCCAAGATTCAAAACTAAAAAAATATAAAGTTTTTTTGTTCTGGACCCTATTAAATATACCTTCATTACATAAAACAAGAAGACTTTTTGGTTAGTCTTGTTGATAAAATGTGAAAATTACAGTTTTCCTTGGGAAATAAATCAATAAAGAAATAGAATAGATTTAGCCTTTATTGTCCCACCGAGGGGAAATTTCAGTGTTAGAAAACACTTAATAATAATAATGAATTTGATTTGTGACGCTCTTTTCATTAACAAAAATCTCAAAGTGCTACAAAACAGCAGATCACGGCAAATAAAAGTAGTAAAATCAAAAAACGAAAGAACTATAGAAATAACTGAAGCTCAACTTTTAAACTGTAAAAAGTAAGTCAAAAGTATTTAAGCCTTTAAGACCTAACTGGTTGTTAGTTTCTGTCGTGTGAAACGTTACATTTCTTATAGTAAATAAGTAAGTAAAGTTTTATTTATTTAGCGCTTTTCACAGAAATAAATTCACAAGGTGCTGTAGATTCAGGGGAGGGGGGGAGGGGCAGTTAAGAAACACCCATTCAAGAAGACATACAAGGCAAACATGGGAGAACAGGTGAAGTTGGTCATGCAGCAAACACAGTTGCGCTAATATTATTGGTCAGAATTAACATTTGTTGTATATTTAAACAGTTTCAGGAGATAAAACTTAAAGAAACACATGTTAGATTAAAACTTCTCAAAATGCATTTTATTAATCAAACTTTAAATAAAACTTAAATACAGACTTATTCCAGAAGAAAGCAGATAACTTCCCAGAACCTTTTTTTTTATAAACACAATGACTCAGAACACATTTTGTGTTTCAGTCAAACCATTAATAATAATAATACATTTTATTTCTAAAGCGCTCCTCAAGACACTTCAAGACTCGGTACAAGAAAAAGAAATATGTTAAAAACGGCAAAAAAAATAAAACAATCAAATATTAAACATTAAAAGCATTTTTAAAAGATGTTCGTGCTCATGTGGTTCCTTCAGTGCAGCGAGAAGCTCCAACAGTTTGAGACAACCTCAGTTTCAGTCTTCAGTCCTGATCTAAAAGAGCTCAACAGATTTTTTTTTTTTTTTTTTTGGAAAGTGGGTCTTTGGCAGACCCTCCAACCTCAGACACCTGTTCCAGATTCTTGGAGAATGGCTCCCTCGCTCGCTTATGAGCCCAATTTAGATCGAAGGCAAGGCTCGTGACGCCGGCTTCTGTCCCAGGAAGACATGGAGCCTGACGTCACGCGGACGGTTCTAGAACAGGGTCCGTCTCGGAGCCGGTGGGGGCTCCTGCAGGGCTTCTCTGATCGCTGGAGCGAGCTGTGGAAATTTGAAAAAAGACGGATAAATTCCAGGGATACCCGAAGCTGACAGGGGGCACAAAGGACAGCTGTCTCCCCCTCCTCCTCCTCCTCCCCCCACACTCACAACGTTCAGTGTGAAGTTTTTTATAAACACGTTGTTGGTATGCCAGTTGGGTTTTTTCAGTCGGCACCATGTTGGACCTGCCTGCTGCAGGACGGGTGGCAGGAAAACCAATAAAACCTTGTTTAGAGCTCACTAAAGCAGACTGAATGTTGTTACAAAAGAAAAAAATAGAAATGGGGACAGGTGTTCCGCTTCATGACACACAGGCTGACATTGTTGCTGCTTGTTTCCAAGTTGATGATTAAATTAAAAAGTCAACCAGCTGAAACAGAAACATGGAGCAGGAAGTGCTCAAAAGCTTTTAGTCTGTTAACATGTTGGAGTGCTTGTTTCCAGCAACACTCAGGCCTAAAACACCTGCCGTAGGAAGGTTGTAGCCTTTTGTGTTTAAGCTCAAGGCTTAAATTTTTAATTTAATCAGAAAAAGTAATATGCAACACATCAGTAAAAGTACTTTATGGACATAAAGTGTGTTTTGCTTTTACACGCACTGCAAAAACTGTCCATCTTACCAAGTTTTAAAATCTTATATCAGCCAAAAAGTCTTTTTGATCTTGTTTTGAGACTGATTTACTAAACAAGGACTGATTGTGTAAGAATAATCATCTTGTTTTCAGAATGTTTAAGATTATTTGTCTTGTTAGTCTGAAAATTTGACTCAAATTAAGTCAAAAATTTCTGCCAATGGAGTAAGAAAATTTTACTTGGTAAGGTTCTTGAAATAAGAAAAAACTGAGTCAAATCAAGTATTTCAAGAATCTTACAAAGTAAAAAATTCTTACTCCATTGGCAGAAAATTTTGACTTAATTTGAGTCAAATTTTCAGGCTAACGAGACAAATAATCTTACACATTCTGAAAACAAGATTATTATTATTACACAATCACACTGCAAAAAATTGTCTATCTAACCAAGTTTTAAAACCTTGTATCCAGCAAAAAAAAAAAAAAATCTTTTTGACCTTGTTTTGAGACTGATTTACTA